CCGGACATGCAGCTAAAACATTTCCCTTTGTTGGCTGGGTCAGCCCCCAGATGAACCTTTCTATCTTTTTACTTTCAGGTGTGACCAATCCCGCACAGAGAAGTGCGAGGTCATCGAATCGAGAAGTGTATGCAGCAATATCGGAACCCTTTATCTTCAGGTTCCAGACCTCGTGTTCTAGTTTTTGCATTTCACCAAGGGAACAGTATTCGGCTATCAGGAGTTCTTTCATGGCTTCCCAGCCCATGGCGTTGGCTACAGGTAGGGTCAGAGATTTGACTCAGCCATTCCACCAATTCAAGGCTTTATCAATGAAGGTACAGGCTGCGAACTTGACCTTATCAGATTCCGCACAGGCACAGATTTCAAAGATGGATTCGATTTTCTTGAACCATCGAGATAAGGAAATGACACCTCCAGTTCCATCGAAGGATGTTGGTCTCGCATTCATGAAGTCCTTATAGGAACCCTCCTTCGGTGTCCCTGATTATTTTCTTGGTTTTGGGGCTGGAGACCACCTCCTGAGCTACCGGGGTTCATTTGCGACATGGATGCTACCATTGCGGCAGTCAGAACTGTCTGAAGCGATGCAAGATCAAATTGAGGAGGATATGGTGGCGGAGGAGGATTGTTGTTGTTCTTTGAGCTAGGTCTCTTTCTGGGAGGCATCTTGATCTAATAATATCAGGAAAGAGAGAGGATGGTAAGTCCTCTACATTGAATCGAGAGATATGACAGACATATATTCCGAATAAGCGATAAAACAGGAAAGAGTTATCAAAGCAAGTAAGTTATCGCTAAGGGAATGATCAAGGAACAATGCATGAACGAAGATTTCTACAAAGGATTGGCTCGAGAATTACTCCTATAGTATTTCATGATTTGCTTACGACACTGGCTCGACGTTTGTGGTATTAGGGTAAGTTTTAGGAATGCTGCATACCACAGTCACACCCAAGCACATGTTGGCTGTGTCTCGAATGAATATAGTTGGCCAGGTTATATTGATCCTAGACACGTCTACATAACTGCCCAGGTTTAACCGCAGAACACAACACCCATTTACTTATGTTTTGTTCTACTTGTCGTTACGGATCTCGACGGTTTGGTATACTTGTATACTTTTGAAAATACTTATAGTTTGAAGATACTTTTAATTCAGAGCACTTAGGCCCTTTAGTGTTTATAGTTTTATACCATGTAAGGTTTGGTATACTTTATTCACTATAAACAAGGGCTCTGATACCAATCTGTCACACCCCAAAAACCGAAGGCGGAAACATTTCCGCGGTTGACTCCACGTTGTGTATCAAATCCAATGCACATAGTAAGTAAAGTAAAACAACCATTACATTACATATATAAAAGTTTACATTTGTTTCTAAAGTAAAGTTATACAAGTGATACATAGTATATATTAACAAAATGAAACGGGTCTTCTGAGCACTCCATCTTCGAACAAAAGGATCTTCAGGTACCTGTCTAACGCTGACCTGAGAATACAAGGGGTTTGAAAATCAGCATAACGCTAGTGAGTTCATAAGCGGTTTTGTTTTGTGAAAAATGTATAAGTTGCCTGTCTGTTACTGAAAATGTTACACACACCAAGAAAATCCCATATTTTCTTAAAAAGGTTGGTTATTGAATTCCCAAAATGTAATGTAAGGTTGTACACTGAAAACATGTTTACTCTTGTGAATGTAAAGTTATATGGTTTGTTACTCTTTTCTGGTTATGTACAATGTTCCCCAGGAATATCCCATATTTTCCTGAATGTTGATTACCAATGTGAAAGATGTATTTTGAAAACCTGGTTATCTTGTGCAATGTATTAGTTTTAACACGTTTATAAAACTAATAAATACCAAGTAAACTAGTTACTAAACCCATTATTATTAGAAAGTAAATCTATGTTGTCCGAATTGCGAGTTCCATAACCATACAATAGACTAATTAGGGCAATAAATAGTCCATCGCCCTATATGACTTTCGTCACCCTTGAACCTTTCGGTTCGGCTGTAGCTAGCAGCCAGGTACGGGGTAGTCAGCCCCGTATAGATCTATACACTCAAGTCACGTTCCCTATCTAAGAGATTCTAGTTACGGGGGCGGTCCTCCACTCGCGTATCTCTGTGGAGTGTTCACCGAGGACGTGTCTCCAATTATAAGACTAACAATTTACTAGTAATAATACAATAATCCTCCACTCGCGTATCTCTGTGGAGTGTTACCGAGGACAAAAAAGTGTACAAAATCTTATGTTCAAAGGTTCTAATGTCATGCTTTTAACTGATAAAAATGTAGAAAAACCGTTTGTGAAATAATAAACATAACAACTTATAACTAATTTCACAAATAATGTATATGATTATCCTGCAAGTTTCAAACAGTTATCTGTTATGATTATCAGTATCAAAAGCATATGAATTATGAAACACAAACATGTAAAACAAGTTTTTATGTACAATTATCCATTGTACTTTGCTTGTATTCCCCCTAAAAACAGTGAAAAATGGTAGGGGTATGAACTCACCAGACGAGAAGGCGCAACTATTTCGGACACTAAATGTTGGTTCGGGGCTTAATTACACGCAAGGTTCCTATGTAATATGAAAAGGTATCCAAAGGTATCTAATTAGACTTTAAAACACTAATTAGATATGATAATACACTCCAATGAGCGAAAACACTTCAAAACAAGTGTTTCGAGTGACCCGAGTGACATCTACGAATGTGTAATGATGTGTGGGACTTCGGAAGTGAGTTCACTCTTCAAGAGTAAACCCCTTAGGGAGTTTTTGGCCACATACCCCGTACATACATGAGTTCACGGCCATGAACTCATGGTTGGATGGTTTGGGGTGCTAAATGGCTTAAATGCACATGGTAAATTTTGGAATGGATTTTTCTAAACTCTTGGGATGGATTAAACTCACTTAAGGACCATTTATTGGAGTTTACAGCAGTAATAATGGAGTTTATGGCTGTAAACTCCCCCGTGCCCAATTCTTAATTCATTTGGTGAGGTTAGGACAATCACATGTGATTCCAAATATTTTTCCAAGCCTTGGTATGAGTTTAGGGCACCTTTTAACATGTTTTTATGAGTTTACGGCCCAGGAACTATTTCATGGGAAGATTTGGCCGTAAACTCCTAAATGGAGGGTGTTTGACATGTTTTAGGTCCCCAAACTATTTTTAGATGATTCTAGGATTTATTCCAAGGCTATTGGTGTGTTTATATGGCTTTATAACAAAAGAAAAAGAGTTTACTCCCCATGAATGAGGAGTTTACGGCCCAAGCTTGTTCTCGGGCAGTAAACTCATGTTTACTCCTCAAAAACCATGTTTAATGTGTTCTAAGTCCGAATTGGTAAGCCATATAGTCATATCTAAGTCCCAAAGTTGGTTTAGAGGGGTTTAAAGGCATAAAAACCCTTTTAATATGTGTTTACGGCCCAAGAATGCTCCTTGGGCGTAAACACGTGTTTGAGGTCCAAAATCAAAGTTTAAACACGAATTTGAAGGCCTAAGAGGTCAAACAACAAGTTAGGGATGTTACCTCAAAGATTTGGAGCCTTAAATCAATGTTTTGGACCTTGAATCTTTGGTTAAGGAGAGATGTTAGAGAGAGAGAGTAGTGAGAGAGAGAGAGAGAGAGAGAGAGAAAGCTTCAAATGGAAGCTTAAACATCCTTAAATAGTGTCTAAGTTTTGGACACGGTGGAATTCTACCCGATACCGGTGTTATACGGTGCTTTTCGTCGCACCCAATTGAGTTACCGTAACCCAATATGGTCGATTCTAAAATGTTTCCGATTATTAATTTGGGGTGTTAGAATAAGTTCTACAAGTATTAGGACACCCATTAAGTCATAATATCAATTACAAATTAATGACTTAATTAAATGACTAAATCGGAAACGAAATTGGAAACGGAGATTGGATTATCGAAATGAGTTACGAAAACGGTTACAAGAAATGATACGAATTTTTGTGTTGTTACACTACATTGTTAGCTGCAACTCTGATACGCTGGTAGTATTATTCTATTATGCTGATCTTTCACGTTATTGACGCTTTGTCTTAGTCATTCACTTATCTCAACAGTAGCTTTTGTACGACGATTAAAGATTTGCAATAATACCTCAAAATACAAGATTATTACGACGCTACATTCTCCAATCATGATTACCTAAAAGGGAAGAAAATTCAAGTATAAATTAGGAGAACTCTCTCTCCTAGGTCACTTTTACAATGTATTCATACAATCAAATTTCTATCTATAAAAATTCTCTCGGTCATCATCTTACTCAAGTTTTCATCATATCGAAGGTTCATCATGTGTTTTCTTCTGATACTAATGTGGTCAAAAGCTCTTATTCTCCTGATACTCAGATTTTCATTCAACAAAACAATGTTACATTGTCTGATGTTATCCTAAATTAGTAAAAATACTTGTGGACTAAAGACTTTGTCAATTATGTCAAAAGTTGCCCTCTTCGCTTTGCGTTTTGTGATTTCCTAAAGACATTTTACCCTAAGAAAGTATGTGAGTTCTACTATTCTTGATAAGTCTATTCTAATTCTCAAGATAAGTCTATTCTAATTCTAAACCATTACTAAAACCATTGGAGACGGTTATTTTAGGGTTGTTATCAATGTTGCATCTTTTTGATCTACTCTTCATCTTCCCTAATTAGAAAACTATTCTTGAACCACATCTGAAGAAACATGCTAGTCTATTCATTCAATAATGGGGTGTAACTTCTATCTTCATGGTACTACTCGTGATCTAACTAAATACACCATGTGTTAGTGCCATTGTGTAGAATGGACATATTTATTAGGAGTAATTGGAAAATATTTTGGACATAAGATGGGAAGCGTAGACCAATTAAAACTATTTGAGAAACATATCATGTACACTATGCTTACAACAAAAGACTGGATTTTCCTCAACTGTTATTTAATCCCTCGAATGAGTGTGTTACTGGGAACATGAAGCCAACATATTTTCCTTATCCTCATTGGATTGCACTAATTTTACCTCGTATTGGAGAAGGTTAGAATGCCAATCATGGAGTCCCCATACCAATTCCAACTCTTTGATCATAGATTATTAATCATGGTCCTTCTGATGAAGATATGCATATTACCCATAATATAGAGAATTTGATTGAAAATCCCTATGTTGTTGAAAAATCTGACTCTAAAGAATAAGATGATGAGGGAATCAATGAATATGTTGTTGATGAAGAAGAAGTTGAATTTGATGTTCATATAGGAAGCCGCTATTCAAGGAATGACTATTTCTCCTCCAAGAATGAACTAGCACATTCGCTTCTCTTTGACTTCTACTTCATAAACAACTCCCTAGCAGAAGATATAGTCCAACACATATCATATCCATCTCAAATGGAATCTATTGATCCGATGACCCAAGATGTGACTTCTCCAAGATAATCATCTTATCCTTAACCTACAACTATTCTTCCAATGCCAATTACTATACAAACTTCTTCTAGTTTTCAAGGGGGTTTAGTTCCAACTTTCAAATGACTGTGCTATCCCTATTGTTGAAGATGACTCGGTCTCTTAGAAAAAGACTAACCAAGGTTGAATGTGTTGTAGCTGATATCAAACGATCAATGGCTTAGGTCAATAATGATGATGATGTATTGATTGAAGAAACTCCTCCTGCCTCTCTAGGTGATGATCAAACTCCTCCACCTCCACCCAAAAGTAATCCATACACATCACCATCTAATAATAATCAATATCCTTCACCTTCAAAAAATCCTCCTCCTCGTACTCCCCCTCCACCTCAAGTCACTCCTCCCCACACTGATGATGTCAATAAGGGGGTGAATAATCAAGAACTAGTAATGATGACAACGATTTCATCGCAGGTTGATTAGTCTGAATCAAGAATGGGGGGATAATCAAGAAGAATTGGTCTTTTAGTCTTAAGCAATGAATGATGAACAGCCATTCCAAACCCTAATGATCAGTTTGAAAGTGATGAGTATGAAGGATTTCTTGACTTCAAATTCATGGCACAAACTGTTCTCCCTTTAAGTATTATTTACCCTGATGCATGTCCTGATGGGAGATTCCTCAAGGAACTAATGGTGACGTTTATTTTGAAAATGATCAGCTCAATCCTAGAAAAACAAAGGTTTTCTTCTCAGGGGAGAAAATAATGTTAAAGCTAGAAGTTCCTCAGCAGCTGGTGGATCTTCAGCTCCTCCTGCAAAGAAATGCAATTTAAAAGTTGATTTGGAAGACATAATTGTAGACGGGTGTATGACTATTGAGGAGGTTATAGAAATTATGTTGGAAGATAATACTTTGGTTAGAACAAGAAGAGATGAATGTCAAACTATCAAAATTTCTCATACGCTTGCATCCACTGATGCTCAAGAGACCAGTATTCAACGTTTGAATATTGATGTGGCCAAGCAAAACAGAGTCTTTGAGTTGAAGGATCGAATCAACCGGAAGAAATTTGAAATTTTTGTTAGTCGAAGATATCAAACTAATCCTATCATCAAATTTAGATGCACCAAACCCAAGAATAAATTACTCAAGATGCATCTGGCCATGAAGAATGTTGAGTATGAATACACTAAAGCTATATTTGCTCATGCTCAGGAGGTACAATTGGCAATTCAACACAAAAATGTTCATGCTCAGGAGATAAAATTGGCAAATGTGTTCATGCTCAGGAGGTAAAATTGGCAATTTAACAACAAATCAACAAAGTCAAGAAGTTAAACTTAATGCCTTCAGCTGGTCCATCTCAACCATATACCTTAGAAAGAACAACAAAAACTATAATGTTTGAATATATTAATTTATTTGTTTTGCATGACAATCCCTACATCAACAATAAGTTGCTAGTAGGTGTTAAGCTAGTTCAACACATGTTCATTTGAGATCTAGAACATGGTATATTTTACCTTCATAGTCCGAACCAGATGTGTTTTCAATGCACTAAAGTGTTGGATTAGGTGTTTATGCCTATAACTATAATCAGTATGTACTTGACCCGATAGTAGCTTGGTCCTTTTAGGTTACCTTCACCATAGCAACTTGACTAGATGAATTGCAGAGAAAGATGTTAATTGTGATTTATTAATATATTATAAGAATAATATATTAATTGAGAAATCATATTATTTAATTATTATTGATCATAAATTAATTTGGTTGTTAAAAAGACTAATTGAATTAAAGGGACTGATATTTTAATTATAAGATAATTACAAGGTTAGGCTTATAGATCCCTAAGGACGGGATGGACGGATTCTATGAGAAAGTCCACATAGATTTCATCCATAGGGCCTTCTGGAAGGATCCTGTGGGCTGCTTGAGGAATAAGCAACTAGATTAGGGTTTTACCTGAAATCCTAGTAGCTCAGCTATATAAGGAATCCCTTGGATCCCTAAAATCGGCCACTTGAACCCTAGAAGGAATACCAACTGATTTTCAGCCTCCTAAACCTCTCTCATATTCTTCCAACTTGCTATTTGTTTTCTATGATCCATTTAAGGTGCAACAATTGAGGCGGCAGGCTCTTAAAGTTCAAGATCTACAAGATACAATCAAAAGGTATTCTTCTAAACTTGTTTTTTGTTATGATTTCTGAAAATGGTATGCTAGTTAGGGATCATGCTTTGTATAACTTGATTTGCATTTATAATTTGAGAAAAACATTGATCTGAAGCATTAGGGTTGCATGTACACCATATGGATGTTGTAGTGCTCAAAACCCATCAGTGGTATCAGAGGTTAGGTTGTTTTTTAGTTGTATTTGATGTTATGTTCAATTATTCAAAGCTGAATGAAATCGATTGCTAGCCCCTGACTAATTAACTCGATAATTCCATATTAGGACTCGAAGAGTTGAGGAAACTCGACGAGTCCAAAGCCTAACTCGATGAGTTGACTCGTCTGACTGTAGGATTTTTGGAATTTTAGCCTAAATTAGATTTAGTTAATTACCATAAACCATTTTTCTATCAAAATCCGATTTTTACATTATGGTAACGGATATCCTAATCTAATTGGAAGATAATGGTTGAAATTTAAAATAATTACTAGATTATATGATACACTAATTATTTTAAATTTTTAATTGTAATTATCTTGCCAAATAAATTAGGTCAAATTGGTAAAAGATAAAATTATATGATTATTTGATTGGTTTTAAAATTTGATCAAAAAGATTTTGAAAAGTTTCAATATTTTCCCTCATGTTTTGGAATTCCAAATTTGATTAAAAAGTTTTAATTTTGAAATATTAAATTCTAAACCCTAGTGTTTTAAAAGTTTAAAATACAACTCTTATACTATTATAATATTAAAACTTAATATATATATATATATATATATATATATATATATATATATATATATATATATAAGATAACTCAGTGTTACTGTTAGTAGGCCTCATTCACGAAGCCAATCTATAAGGGGTGGGGGGGGGGGGTATAAGAAAACTTCCTATAAAATGGCGGTTGAATGCATGTCCACTCTTACCCACAGCTTCCTTGATTGGTGGAGCGTCGTTAGCCGAACAGGTAGGATAGGACAAATAATTCATCATTAATAAGTATAATGATTATTATAAAGTAACTAAAAGGTTTTTCATAAATTCCCAATCTTAGTTACTTTAGGCAAAATGTGAAATGATGCTATTCCATGAAATTGCACTATGCACCTTTCCAAGTTGTTAGTGGAGCGTGTGTGGTTAACCGAAACACTAACTTGAACTAACAAGGGTGGAAAAGGGTAGCTCGATCCTTATCATAGATCAATAGAGCGTGTGTGGTTAACCGGCACATTGATTAGGTGATAAATGACATCGAAAGTACCGAGCACATTTGCATGATTATTCACACCTTGTTTGTGATCCTCGGTATCCCAGTCACAAACACGAAGGGCATAATCGAGATTTAAACATTCCATTGAAAAGTTCAATGAATCTCAAAGAATATAGTAATTTCAATTCGTTTAAAACCTAATGTTCATTTTCGTTTTTCATGGTAGAAATTGGTAAATTATCATTTACCTACCTTCAAATATTTTGTAATTGGATTACGGAATCCCTCTTCCGAATTGTAGAATATTGTGTTGGGTACTAGCCTTAATATTTCATTTGTGTGTTATATTAAGGATTCTAATCTAATTTAAAATTTGTCTCTTTTCTTTTTCATATGTCAGGCTCAAACTTCTCCAACACCAACTCCTCGAACCCACTTTCGCTTTTAGGCATTTGTGGGAGGGTCACCTTTGATGGATCCAATTTTAATATTTGGATGCACAACATTCTCATGGATCTAATGTACAAGGACAAGGAAGTCATTATCGAAAAAGAGCTCCTTGAGATAAATGAAAACACTACAACTCCTTAAGAAATCACCGAGTATAGGGCTCGATGCATAGAAGCGACAAAAGTGTCGTGTATTATATTAGTCAGTATGACTCCGGAGCTTCAAAAGTTCTATGAGGACTATTGGCCTGATGACATGCACCAAGATTTGATGGAAACGTACCATCAAAATGGACATCAAGAGAGGTATGAGATAGTTACCTCGTTAATCACGACCAAAATGAATGATGGAGAGTCCATCACAACCCACTTGCAAAGGATGCAATGATCCATGGTTCGTTTGCTCAAGTTGAATGTCAACTTCGATGAAGAGTTGGCCATTGATATTATCCTCCACTCTTTACCTCCTTTTTATGAACAGTTCAATATGACCTATAATATAAACAAGGACGAAGTGACCTTGAGCAAGCTTCAAGGGTTGTTGAGAATTGCAGAAACCGGCTTGAAATACAAATTTGTCGCATCTACTCTTATCAATGCTATCCCCATCTTGGCTATTGGACAAGGGAAAGGGATGAAGAGGAAAGCTTCATCTAAGAGCCAGAAGGGAAATTCCCATGTCAGATCCTCTTCTAGTGGGACCGAAGTCGATTCTACTGCTCCTTCTTCTAATTCAAAGGATGTAGAGTGTTTTCTCTGTCATGAAAGGGGCATTGGAAACGAAGCTGCCCGAAGTATTTAAAAAGGATCAAGGATGGGTAGATAAATCTCACCTTCACTGGTATTCACACTATTCATTCTAATAAGTCATCAGATGCTAATTCTTGGGTCCTTGACACATGATGTGGTTTTCATATTTTTTCTGATTTGCAGAGTCTAAGAAGAAGTTGGGATGTGGAGCACGGGAAGAAGAACTTGATCATGGACAATAGGAAAGCATCGCATGTCACTAAGTTTGGAGTTTATTCTTTATTTCTTAGTAGTGGGTTAGGTTTAGAGTTGAATACACTACTAGAAAAATAGCATTTTACGACGCGCGAACCATGACACGTAGTGAATTCTGATACGCAAATGTGAGTGTCCAAAATATAATGTCATCTATTCCAAAATTTAAAGGATACGCGCATTTTTGTGTGCCATAAAATTAGTGTCTAAACAAAAAAAACACGGAGGGCACCTGCGTGTCATCTAAGACCGTCACTTTATAAATTTTAATAGAACACGCGCGTTCCATCCGGGGAAAATGAAATCCCAAAAACTTAAAATCCCCGCCTTCCTTTTTTTTCTCCCTCCACTTTAGTTTCCCTAGTAGCTAGGGCTTTTTTTCAATAACTTTCCCCGATCGCCCTCCTATACTGCTCGTTCTCTCTTCAACTTCCCTTTCTCTCCTTCTCACTTCGACAAACCCTTTCTCTTCTTCTTAGTTCTCGACGTCGACAACTTCTCCCACCTCCGAGGTTTCTCTTGGTGTTGGCGCCTCCCACCTCTGACCTCCGTCTAGCCCCGCCCCACCGTCCAACGCTTTCCAGCAACACTCAGTCGATGGAGCCCCTCCTCTCCGGCAATCTCACCTTGCCTGCCCTTTCCAGCAACATGAGGTCCGATGACCTTAGGGTCACTGCTTCTATTGCTCAAATTTACAAGCCCTATGTCTTATTAAGGTATGTTTTTCTTGATTCTAACTTCTCAATGTTTTCATTCTTCTATAAGAACCCTAGCTTGCTAAATCTGTTTTTCATTCCGGCTTAATTTCTCTCTATTTCATTTACGATCGAAGGAACAAACTTCCGATATTTGGTGAAACTAAAAATAGATGATGTGTGATTAGGTGAAATAATCGACTATGGTTAATTTTTCTTATTTATTTCCACTACAGGTGCTCAAGAACATTGACATCCGATCTCATGAAATTCCTGAAGTCATGAAAACAGATCCCTTGATAATAAGTTGAAGAATGGCATGTGATCTCTTGATAAAAAGTGTAGCCTGTTTTCTTCTTCCTACTAACCACCTGATGACCATTTTACCCTTGCAATACTAACATGAGAGGAGCTGAGAGGAAAAAATTATCAAAACAAATAGTTAAGGAGTTGATACCAAAACAGATTAGCTGTCTAGATTAAGCTCGACAAGTCAAAAATTATGGTTTTATATTTTAGTGTTAAGGGTATCAAAAACAATATATTAAAATTGTGGTATCCCAATTTAGTTTCCTATTTTACTTCATTTTCATGATACTACCTTTAGTTCAAATATTCAGTTTCTATAAGAAAAGTTTTCTTTTTATCTTTTGTATCATTGTTTTTTTAAATAGAATCTTTCTTTTTTGTAATCAATCATGTTTTTGTTTTAAGTGTGTTTCATGTTAGGCATTTACAACGGATCATGATAAGGCTTTAGAAGAGTTGTATAGTAAAAGTGCTGAAAAATCCCGCCAATTTGATATCACCATGACTACAATGGCCATCCACATTGCTACTATTTTTTTGCTTCATTGAAGGTAATATATTGTTTTTTGGTTTATTCTGTTATGTCATGCTATATAGATTAAGTCAAAAAGGAACATCCATGTATAACTAGTTATCTAGATTAGGCATGGTGAGTCTAAAAGAAAAGAAAAGACAAAAAAAAAAGGGAGGGGAGGGGAGGTGAAACAAACTTGTACATTGGTATTACATGAGAGTAGCATCCCACCCAAACTGAATGGCATGATATAAAATTAGTGGGCCAGGTAGAATGGAGGAACTAGCAGAGCTATGTAGACGGTTGGTATCAATCAAATCATTTGCCTTAATTTTAGAAGCTTAAAGCGACTTGGTTTTTCTTTGTTATTTTGCTAAAAAAAATTGTTTGTTTGAATATATGTTATGTTTACACAGTTATTAAATTAGGTTTTGATTCATGTATTTGAAGGTTTATTTGACAACTAGATATTATGAATAAACTATTGTTTACTAACCATATATGTGTTAATAAAATATTGTTTAACTTACATAAACTGGATATTATAAAAACAATTAAGTATTGTAGTAATGTGGCTTATATGCCTATCGTCTGCAATATGTTTCAGTTTTTAATATTATTAAATAAAAGTTATAGAACATCATTTGGTGCATAATCTTGTTATACTTCAACAAATTTCATTTACACTTCAACTAAAATTTGAAATGCATTATCTGAATCAATGGCAACTCAATTTGTTTACATAATTAGTTTCCTTTTAACTTTTTAACCTTTAACCTTGTGCAAAAACAAAAAAGAACTACTTAAAGCCAATCAAGCATGCTACAGAGCCACTTCTCAGGAAGGAAGCTTGTTAATTATTAATCGTTTATGCTGTGAAGGATCTGCAAAGATTATAGAGATCTGTGGACAGTTGATAACGGAGGATTGTAAATATAAAAAAAATCACCATTGTTTCTCAGTTTAATTAGTATTCTTAATAGTTTTTTTTTAACAATCATCACAGTGGTCTTGGAGCTTCTTTAATGAACATCAAGCATTTCGCTGAAGCCAAGATTTCAGCCGCCTTTGGTGCTAAAAAAAATTAAATCTCTAAGTCAATGTCTATCAAACCGTTGGATTGGTTGGTCAAAGTGGGTCCGGTAAGTCAACGGTGGTCAATCTGCTAGAAAGATTCTATGATCCAATTGAGGGGGAGAAGGTTCAATTAAAATTTACAAATATGCCATTCTGTTTTCTTAAAGATTTTATTAATCCAAAGTTACCTGAAAAGAATGCAGGTTGGTGTGGCCCAAAAATGGTATGATGAGTTAGTTGTTGCTACACACCTACAGATTTTGATCCGGTTGGACAATTTTGCCCATGGTGTTTTCTTGTGAAAGAGTATTGTTATTGCTGGTTCATTTTGTAAGGTCATTGATTTATTGGTTTGTCCTTAAGTTTTACTGGTTCGTCTTTGTGAGAGGTTAAGATATTTATATATTAATGTTGTAACATGTTTGACCATAAAAGTCAACTGTCTTCTGAACCAATTTTTTTTGTCATTGTAGGGAAGGTCATTCTGATGGTGGAACTTGCAAATGTTAAAATTACTCCTATAATATGAGATTCACATGTTGGTTACTTTGAACAAACTCCTCACATAAAAAAGATGCCACCTCCAGATGTTCTTCAAATGCAGGTGAATGAGATTGAGAAACAGATAATATTTTCTTATTATAATAATGTTCTACTTATATAAAACTACCCACAAGAAAAAACATTGTTTACTATTTTCTTTTGAGCATTTTATTTATTCACTTTCATTTAGGTTCCAGCTACAAAAACACTCATAACTCCTGTTCAATGCAAATCATTGTGGAGCCAATTTCAAAAAGAAACCGAATATACAATCACTCAAGCTATTGCTTCCCATGTATTTCTTTTAAAATCTTTGATATTTATTTAGATTGAATTGTGAGGGTAGATTGGTAATTTTGTCTAGCATGGTTTTTTTTGGAAGATACTAAACGCAATAACAACTAGTTACCACCTCCATGGGCTATCGCTGCCATGGTGGTACTTGGATTCAACGAGTTCATGACTCTTTTAAGGTTATTTTTGTCTTTTTACATTAAATAAAACCAATCTTCTACTCTCACTTCCAATGATGTTAAATTCTTTTTTTTTTTGGTTAGGAATCCTTTATGGCTGCTTGTTATATTCGTAAGCTACCTTCTTGCAAAAGCTTTATGGGTCCAACTAGACATATATGGTGAATTCCAAAATGGCGCTGTGAGTTTCCGGAGCTGAGGGTCCAGTCAGTAAAGCGAATACAAGGAAGGGAATCATAGGCACTTTGAGTTTTCGGAGTTGAGGGAAGATTGGTAATTTTGTCTGCCATGCTTGTTATATTCGTAAGCTATCTTCTCAACCATTTCAAACGCGTACAACGTTTTAATGGTTATCATAAGTTGTTGCTATGAAGACTCTGATTATGTTTTATAATCCGGACTTGACATTTTTGACATGAGATTGAACCATTTTAAAGACACCTCTATTGTTCAATTCTCTTATTATAACAATAGCAACATCACAAACAGATCAAGGAAAGTGAGAAATAGACATGGATTTTTGATCTTTTGCTCCGAGGGCATTTACTAGCACCTTTTGCTTATAATCCTGTTGCATTGCTCTGCCTTCCCTGACAAAGGATGATTGGATTTTAACTCTCGAGTAGTCGCTGTTTTGAGAGAAGTAAAAATCTGGTGTAGTTGGTTCTATTAAGAACCGCTTACAGAATGCAACCTACTTCCTTGTCTGCAGACTATGGATCTGGTAGGTGGACCCCAGAAGATTTTTCACAAAATCTCACAGGTATATATTATTCATCTTTTTAATCTTCTTGCTAATTTCATTGTTAAATGCTAATAAGGGTCCATCTTGATGGTGTCTGATCCTTTTCATTTCCTTGTTATTTTATTTGTAAATAAATAATATATGTTTATTTGTATTCAATTTGTTATTCGGAATGATCACATGATACTTCTGTTGCTCTGGCACATTCTTTATTTAATTCTCAAAGTCATATACTGTGTTTGGGAGAAGATGCGTGCAATTGAAAGCTATCTTATAGAAAATGGAATTGTGAAAACATATGAAGATCTGAATTTAGACAGAGTGAAGTATCTTGGAATTGTGGTGGATAGTGATGAAGCCCGTGAAACCTCAAAAGTTATTGAACTTTTGGAGTGGCTTTCAGATGTTGGTGTGAAAATGGTCTGCCTTTATGACTGAGAAGGTAAATTTCAATATGACTTCTTACTCATTTTATACATTACATCACGTTACAAAATTGTCATAAAATCTATATCGTATAAACATTAATTAGGTCCTAAGGGAGCGGATTATTAAGTTTTGCTTGCAGATGATTCTCAAATATTCTTAATGATCTTTATAGAACTTATTTGCTGCATGAAATAAGGGTGTTATGATCTTCAGTATATTAAGTTTTGTAAAAATGTAACTTTGTGCAGTTTCTATGGGTATTTACTTAAAGTGTGGATACAAGGAAACAAAGCTACAACTGTGAAGCCTTATAAGTGAGTTGGTAATTTTAATTCTAGATAAAATTACAACTGTAGCTGTATATATAAAACAAACTAATGTGTTATTAAAACAGAGACATGTGGGAGACATCAATGAAAGTTCCTGAATCTGGCTGAAGAGGTCTGTTATTTTTGTTGCTTTTTTAGTTGCTAATAATTTTGATATGTATTATTTGCAGCTTGCTAGGACATGCTATAACTTTTAGCAGTCCACACCGACAAAGTTGGCTGGAGAAAAGTACTTCCTCCAGTCAGGGCAGGTTAGTAGTTTCTCATGATGATGTGTTGTTTCTTGTGTAATTAAAAGCATTTTGGTTTCAGCTTTTTGATTGTGTGATTAATAAAAGTTTTTTGGTTTCAGCTAATGTTCAAGTCATTATTTGTTCATTAAATCAAGTGTTGATGACGATTGTCGAAGATTAAAGAAAAAAATAGAAAAAATAAATAAGGTTAGATATAATATATATATATATATATATATATATATATATATATATATATATATATATATATATATATACTATATAACCCGTGGAGACCACTGGTATAAAATTAATTAATTTTTTATAATAAAATTTCAAAATTATTAATTAATTATTTTAAATAAATTATTAATTACGGTATATTTTTATTAGTTATGTGAAATTATAATCATTGATTCAAATAAATATATAAAAATAATTTTTAATATATATTAAACATTTTTTATTTGTGAATAAATGAAAACAATAATATAAAATTGAAAATTGAAAATGGAGAATAAATACATTGACAAATAACATCACATTAATTAGGAGGTCTAATAAAATTAAAAAGAACTAATAGATTGACAAGTGGCATCATATTAATTAAGATGTCTAATACAGTGACACATGGCAAAAAGACTACTCTTTTATTAGTATATATATATATATATATATATATATATATATATATATATATATATATATATATATATGTTGGGTCAAAAATATTGTTTATACCTTGGGTTACTACGAAAATATATTTTTCAGTAATTTTTGGTTGTGTACGGCTACACATGTGTGTGCGACCGCACACCCTGCGTACGGCCGCACACGCATGTGCAGCTGTACACTCGTGTGAAGCTGGTGGCCCATGTATCATATATATAAGGTGAGGAGTGTATGGCTAAAAGAGAGAGAAAAAAGAGGAGCATGTTCTAGAGAGAAGAATAGTGTGTGTGAGAGAATCTTATGTGTTGGAGCATCATTCATATTATTGATTACATCATTAGATTCATCTTAATTCTTCTTCTTCTTCTCTTATACTTGATCTTACATCATCCAATTGATTGAGATTCTGCACCATCAATTCAATCTGATTGATACAATTGGTATCCGAGCTTGGATTGTATCGATCAATTTTGTCAGACCTGGAGCTTATTTGATCTTATTTTGAAAAGATACTTGCATTTTTGGATAGATTAAGGAAATCTATAGGGGGGGGGGGGGTTGTTCTTTGCATTTTTGATAAAAACGAGTTTTTGATCGAGTTTGGAGCAAAAATGGTGAAAAACATCGTTTTTTCGCAAATCAGTTGAAGGTGTGCGGCTAGTTGAAGGTGTGCGGCTCGGTATGTGCGGTCGGCTCGGAGTGTGCGGCCAGGGTGTGCGCCTCAGTGTACGACTCGAAGTGTGCGGCTAGGTAGCATAACTTCGTATTAAAAAAAAAGGAAGGGGAATTGGGGCTGTCGGGTTTCAAACCCGGGTCCCTTGGTTCAACAACACAACACCCTACCAACTGCTCTAGCAACCCTGATGTTCTCCTCCTCCCGGTTTTAATTCTTAAAGACTACCTTCTCGGTTATTACTTTTGAAAATTGGCATTTTAAACCCCAAAAATCAATTTCTTTTATATTTAAATTCCATTTTCAACCCAAAAATTTTAGTTTTTAATTTTATCTTTTGACCTTAAAATTTTGACGTTGACTTTAAAAATTTGATCTTTGACTTTAAACTTTGACTTTTTCGTTTAACTGTTAAAATTTCAAATTTAACTTTTACGTTTGACTTTTGTGTTTGACTTTTAAGGTTGACTCTTGAGTTTTAGTCGAAGGGCATTTTTTTTTATAAAAATGAGTTCCTCATCCATTCTTGTAAATGAAGTTTCATGTACTCCATCTTGTGAAGCTACGATTAAATTTCTTCGCGAACAAATTGATTTGCTAAAAAGGGAAAATGAGGAGCTTAAATGTGAAGGCTATACTCTAAGGAAAGGTCAGAAACCATTAAAAGCACAATTAAAAGCCAAAATCAATGATATTCGAAAGCTTCAAGAAGATTACAGCAACAAGTGTGAAAATTACGATCACATTAAATGCAAACTTGCTGTTGTAACTGAAGAACTTGACGCTTTGAAAATTAAGTGTGGAAAAACAGATGTTAGTTTCAAAAGTTATATTGTGTCAAGTAAGACAGTCGAGTCCTTATTTGAAAACCAATTAAAATTCAAAGATAATCAAAACAAGGGTCTAGGGTATGATAGTGTTCCTCCACCTATCAATCATAATTATATATCCATCCCTATGACACGGGAAGAAATTGATAGGGAGGTATATCTTCAATATGTGAAACCTGTTGTGGTTGTGCCAGAAAAGGTTGAGGTGAATGTTTCTAGTGATTATGTTACATGTGCAGGTAAAGTAGTAGAAGATGAGAACAAGGAGAAAACAAGTGAAACAGCCGACTTGCTGCAAGTGTGCTTGTGAGAACAATCAGAAACGAGGCAAGGATATGCCATCAGGGGCAGGAAGAAACAACTTCACAGTGAAGAAAAAGATATGTTTTCACCGTGGAACACCTGGACACATTGCCAGAAATTATCCTAATCGAGCATACGCTCCCTACTATGCACAAGGCTGGCAAAACGTGCAAAGTGGGAGATTCTACAAAAGAAATCCTTCGAGGTCACGTTCAGACAATGGCAAATGGAATGCCACAAAGGGCAAGAGTTCAACTCCCAAGGCCAAGAAGCCCAATCCAAGAGATGCTCCCGTGAAGCCAAAATCAAATTCATCTTAACGACTAACATCAAGATCAAAAGTAAGTACTGAGCCACCCATCATATCGAAAAAGAAATGGGTTAAACATAACTACAAATGGGTTCCGAAGGCTCAATCTCCCAAATCATCTAATGCTTCTAATATTTTTATATCTTATGTTTGTGATAATTAGGATATGTAATGGGAGAGAGTATCGTGCAAAGATGACAAAGGTCAACCCAGTTTCAAAATGGATTGGGTTCCAAAGACCAATTGATCCCGCTCTGTGTCGGAGCAGCTATGGAGGCATATCATCAGATTTCAGTTTGTTGATAGTGACTGTTCCAGGCACATGATAGGAGGCATCTCTTAACTGTGCAACACTCAGAACTTTGTTTGAGAGTATGTGTCCTTTGTAGGATAGGAAGAAAGGAAGGGATCACACATTGGGGTTTTTGCTTAACGATGTCAAGAATTTTCAGATCTGTTATGAGTTTATGTATCCTATTCTCAGACCTTCTGGATGCAAATTCAATCGGTGACTTACGGTTTGAGTTTTCTTCTCTATACTCCTGAGTATATCTTATTCTGATTCGTTTTAAAGGCAATTCTTCATTATCTTAATAGTTCTTCGTTAGTAAGTATTGTTTGTGAAGTGATATCAAGAATGTGATAACAGGCAATCTGAGTCTGTGTAAAGTACCAAAGCTGAATTGCCTAGGCTCTGTGTTCGATGCGCTGGTAGGCACGAAGGATTTAAATGGACTTAACTAGGCAAAGATGAACTTATGAAATCAAATGACTTGACAAATCTTGACCTAGATAGATCCGTTTAGCCTGACAATATGACGTTTGGATAGGTTGAGCAGGGAGATATACATTAGAATCCACCAGTCACATTAAAGGAACCCGTATCTAGAACTGTGGTTTAACTTTTCCTCGATGTACGGAATTTGTCCTTAATTCTAGTATTAACGGAGCGACTGGGGAATTCCGATAAAGTAGGTCTGTAGAAAATTATTTTCTTTCTTTCTTACTGTTAGTCATATGTTGCCTCCTCTACGTGATTGGAAGAGATCCGACCTAGACTGCAACATATGCAAATCTATTTCTCTACATCTTAGATCTATGAAATTCTTCCTATATGTTAGCCATATGCTGTGTCTTTTGTGTGATTAACAATCCGACCTGGTACACATCATATGCAACTTTCTACATCTCAATCCCTCTAAAACTATAATTAATCATAATCTAAATCTATCCTCTCTATGAATAATAGTCTGCTCACCTAAAGTAAGGAGTATCTCGGAAGTTCTTAATTATTGGGATATATCAGGAAGCGGGAAACATGTTCTAGTACATCTAAAATTGAACAATTCTAGATTGTCTATAGATCTCGCTGCTCAATTTAGGTGGACAACAATATCCTTGGTCGTCGTTAGATAAATGGTCCTTAGGAAATTTTATCTAGTAACTTAGGATCAATCTGTCCTGTCACTGATAGCATTCCTAAAATTTGTCATAATATTTTGTGCTTAAGTGGACCACAATACCGGCGATCGACCAGATCTATTCATGAAAGGGAAGGTACTGACAAACAGATTAAGACTGTCAAAAAATTTGATCCCAAATAATTTTGTTTTTGTTAAATTTGTTCATAGTTTTCCTCTATGCACAAATTTAGGGGGGGGGGGGGGGGGGGAATTAAAAAAAATATTCAAAAAATGAAACAATAATCAGAACAATTCAAAAATCAAACAAAAAAAAAATAGAAAATTAATTTTTTTTTTTAAAACTAGTGTTATTTTTGTTTTATTTTTTTTTAGAAAATATCAAAAAACCAAAAATATTTTTTGTGTGCTAATTTTTCTTTTAGTTTTGTTTTGTCTTGAAAACTGATTTCAGCCATAGATGAGACTCGTGGAGACTGAGTTGAAGATTTTCTGAGCCAAGGCTTCATCCGTGAGCATCGAAGAATTTTCATTCGAAGGAGCAAGAAATAAAGATTATTCTTTAAACATTCAATCATTTAACCCCAGAAGTAAGGTCAAGCTGCGATTGAAGATTATGTGACAGATTGCATTGAAGCCTCCTCAATCAATTTGCTGCTATCTATAAACTTGCTGAAGTGATCTAGAAGAATTTTTCTCTCTGTTGTTCTCTCTGAAGATTCTCAAGCTGAAAGCGCTATCTTTCAAGAATCAGTACATCAAGCCTCCTCACCCAATGTGCATTTAGAGTCAAATCTTGAAGAAATGCCCAACCGCTCAGGATGAATTCATTTATTGAAGATTCATCAAGTTCATCTTGAAGTTGTGAATAAATTGAAGATTAAAGTTGAAGCCAAGCTCCCAACGAATATTAACAAGAAAAGCCAGCTACTTTTTAGGGGGAGTTTGTTGGGCCAATTAGTAAAGAAAGCTATAAACCAAGGGGGAGATT